GTGGTGTCAGTGTGCTAGTCATTTTGTGCCACTTTTTCATTGCTCAAGGATCAACCTATGAACACATTGTAAGTTAACTAAAAGATTGTTTTATATAATTGCAAATCATGGCTATGGTCCAATAGTTCATCTCACTCCACTTTTACCCCTATTTCAGCCTAGTATTAAATGTTAGTAATGTTTAAGAACTGTTTAGCATTTATGATGATATTAGAAGGGGAACCATCTTACCAAATTTCCTGCCCCAAATTTCTTTCAGCAATGTTCCTGACAATAGTATAACTACTGAGCCATTTAAGTTTACTGTCTGTAATGAAACCTTTTACTATAATTTCAATAATGCCTGTAATGAAATGTTGAAGGGTTCTTGTTTCTAACTTTTGTTACTCGAGATAAAATCTGTATCTTGATGAATATAATACATCAGTTGTATGTTCTCTCTTGAAGATTATTAAACGTGGACTAATTGTTAGGCTAAACATGCTATATTCTTGCATTATTATATGGCATAGTTTTCAGGTCTGCTAACAATACCATTATAAATGTTCTGTATTTTTTTATTTTCCTGTTAGTGTGACATCCAAAATAGGAGACTCCTTAGAAAACATGATTATATTGTGTACTCTTCTTTTAAATTGTGAGGTTTAGGGTGTATGTTTGTAAATTATGTATAGTATATGTAGGTTTAAATACTGTTGTAACTATACATATATATGTATATATAGTTAATTAAGATTTGTTTGGCAGTTAGGATACAGTTGGTGAATGGTTTTCTCCTCTTGACCCAAGCTCATACATTACTAACCGAAGTTGTCATGTATTCTTAAGGATAATTTAAATGAACATAAGAGTTTATGAAAACCTGACAGGTCTAACTGTAACTCAGTTAGTAGAAAGCACTGTAGTTTATTTATAGCTGTATAATATAGTTACTAATGAACTGTACAATAAGGGCAAATTCTAGTATTTTTTTGTATGAAATTACACTATCTGAGAAAAGTTAGTATGTAGTAATAGTAGTACCCACAAAATGTTAACCTAATTGCAATAAATATAATTAATAGTGTACATAAAAGGATGAAATTAAGTTAATTTTCTATGAAAAAAAGAATTATTCATGAACAGAAAGTGGACAACATAGATTTGATGACAGGAAGGTTGTATCTAATCTGAATTACTGAGTGACCTAGGAAGCTTGCTCAAAGGGATTACAGAATAATTATGTTAATATGCAATTATCGCCTCATTTCTTCTGTAGTAACCTCAAGATGTAGTGTAGTGAGGGTGTTATAGCAAGTGCTGATAGTTTGCAAAAATACTGATGTTTGAGATTTCTGAGACAATAAGTCTAGCTTGAGGCATATAAGTGATGATCTGTCATCTTGAAGACAGATCTGACCTTTGTACATTTTTTTAATACTCACTGTATATAACTAGAGGCAGTTATAGCTGTAGAACTCATTATGATTTTATAGAAAATGAAATATGTTTTATGTAGATGTAAAATTCCCATTTGCAGCTTTTTAAAAAGTGTGTGAATATTTTAGAGAACATCTTTGAATTCAGTTAAAACATTCTATGATTACATGATTATATGGGAGAGGATTTAGTAATTATGTCTAAACATCATTTTAAAAGATCCTAATTGATATACCAAATTCACTGAACTCATTGAATTGAAATTTAAGCAGTCTAAATATAATATTACAGTCAGTGTTCTTTTAAAAAACCTAATGAATAATGCCTTTCTTCAAATATGTCTCTATTTGTTATAGTATCATAAATTTGGGTTATTGATGACTATGTTAAGTATATTTTACCATGGAAAACTTGTTAAAAATTGAGACAGCATAAAATTAGTTTATGTCAAATGCTTTCTTATCTGGACGCTATATAATTTTCTCTTAACATAGTGAAATGAATGTTATAATTCTGGATCTGTTGTGCATTACAAAATAGTTTGATGATCCATTGGGTTTTATTGTATCTTAATATATCAGCTTGAATTTTGAATAGTGTTATTAAGAACAAGTATATTTGGAAAATTTTATAATTAGAATATATCCTGAAAATTAAAACAAGACAATGTTTAATTCTTCCTAAAATGCTAGTTTAGTCAACTTCTTCAAGTATATTTTTAATGTAGATTTTTTACTATTAACTTACTGAGTGAGTGCCTTGATCATTATCTATAAAAAGGTAACTTACTTATGGGCAACCAAGCCATGTTTCACTATGAAGATGTGAAAAAAATCTTTCTTAAAGGCCTCAATTGAAATATTTTATAAATATATATTTGACATTTTGCTAGATGTTTTTGTAAATAAAATACCTGTTGTGCACATATTTTTCTATGTTTTTGAGCAAAGCAGTTTGGTATCTTCAGAATACGATCTTATGAAAAGCTTTTATAAAGCCATTCTGGTAATGAGGATGCAGTCTTCAAGCAGACATGGTATTCTCATAGTTTGTCACCCTGCTGTTCAGGGGGTACCAATGAAGTTGCTTTAATAAATGGGAAGCGTCTGTTCCATCTCTGAACCTCTCACACCATAACAGATGGGTGGAACATAGAACATGGAAGGTTTTACCTCTGAGGTGGTAACAGTGAAGCCACTCATTAACACTGAATTTACCACTTCGTTAGCAACACTGCTTCCTGTTGAGAAAAGCTAATACAGGCTTTCAAAATGACTGAGCATATATTTGTCTACCTCTGTGATTATGATAAATAGGAATAGAAAGTGTCTTTCAAGCTACTGTTTTTCTAAATTGTCATTTATTTCAGATTTATGAATTGTTACTACTGAAGCATTTTACTTTTTCTGTCCAATTTAATGAGAAAAATCAGGACTGAGTAATAGTGTAATAGCAAAGCTTGCTTTTCGTTGACATTTGTAAACTCCTTCCATACATGTTTATGTCCTGCCCATTTTTAACTTCTGTGTTTGTGATATAGAGACTCCTGCTGGGTGCTGTGTTAGCACCATTTTGGGGCGATATCATTGAATATGATCTTATTGGAAGTCTAGTTTTATTACTGCGGAAATTTGCCAAATTCAAAACAGAATTTTAAACCCTATGAGGAGTTAGAATAATGCCAAAGAAAGATATCTGTAATGTTTGTTTGTGATTAAACATTTTGTGGAAAGAATAAGATCGTATATATATATGTGCTTGTTCTAAGTTATGAAGTAAGAAAAATTAATTATGCACAGTTCTTTATTCTTGAACTAGATTTAATGTTTTACAAAGCATGAAATTGGCACTATAAAGGATAATAGAAACACTGACATTTATTTGATATGTTTTTAATTTCTAAATACTGGATTGTAAAGTCTGTTTCATTTTATTTTTATTTATTATTTAATTTTTGACACTGGGGATCAAACTCATGACTTTGTGCTTATCAGGCAGTCATTGGTGCCACTGGGCTATATTCCCAATCCTTAGTCCAACTGTTTTAATAGTATTACTTTAACAAGATAAAAAGAGTGTAAAAGAAAAATGCGCCAGCTTTATTGTTTGAGGAGGAAAGTCCTACTCTGTCTTGTTTACTATTTTATGTTGAATAACTAGAGTGGTGCCCAGCACATAGTGAGTGCTCAATAAGTATTTGGCAAATTACTGAACTATACTTACTACTATGTATAAAAGGAAAAGGAGTAGAAAATTTAGACAGTACTTTAAATAGTTAACACTTGTAATTGGCAAATAAACTCTTTAAGTAGTACATGAAGACTTTTGGAAATGTTGAGAGCTTTGCTACAGTTGCTCAAGTCAGGAAGTTAAAATTGGAATGTAGATAGCGTTTAATAGAATAGAGTATCTAAATTTCATAGGTAAAAATATTTTTCTTTTTATATTTCAGACATACTATCTTTGATTTTGCATTTGTGTTTATCTTCATCCAACACATACTTATTCCTTTATTTAACAAATAATGCATCTATGTCAACTGCTATACTATGTTCTAGAAATAAGATGTTGGATAGGTTGTAGTTCCTGTCCTTGAAAAGCTTATATTCTAATAAAGGCAATTCCAATACAATGTGGTCATTTCTAAGAACAAAATAAAAAACAAGGTGCAAGAGAACTCTTTAGAGTAGAGGTAGTAATTACACACGAGGTGTGAAAGTTTCCCAAGTACTCACAAGTCTTTCCTTTTAAAGTATTGTCATCTACTCATAATGATTACATCTACTATCTAAAATGCTTAAGAATCTTTATGTGATATATGAAAAAAACTAAAAAACACAATTATGTTTTGATATTTTGAAATTTTTTAGGCTACTGCACTGAATTGTAAGATCACAAATGGAATAATTGTTTTCAGAGGGTAATTGGAATTTGTGAACTCAGTATGAAATTATAACATAAAATTTAATAATTTAAATTTTACTAATTTTGGATTAATGGGTAATTTGTATAAGGAATACATGAAACTGAAGCATTGTGTTACAGTTAGAATTTTAGGAGAATATTAAATATTTTCAAAAGTAAAAATCACTGTTTTAACACAGTTGATGGTAATAGACAATATGTTTGTTCAAGCAAAGTTCTTTAATGAGTAGCATTTTGTTATCTTCCTCAGGAATGAGCTCTTATGTGACAAAACTTTTCTTTGATATTTGATAATTCAGAATGTTCTGTAATATAATCTGCTTGGTGAGATAACTTTGTTCGGTGTCTGCATTTGAGGTTTTAGTTTATTCAGCTTGTGATGCCTTAGTTTATATGTGTATATGAGTTTGTGCTGCATATTTTATATATATATATGCAGAATTGAGCTGTTGCCTTACACAAAGAACAATATTAATATTTGAGATGCATTTCAAATGCATGAGCTTTTTGAAGTGTTTCTTCATTCTTGGAAGGTTACTTGGATCTTGATATAAAGGTTAGAAAAATAAAAGTAATAAAAATGTGTACTTTCAGCTTTCCATACTCTAATAGTACTTTTTTCATGCAAATCTAAACTTTTGTTTTCCATTTTCTAGACTAAATGTGTTAAATGGGCTTGCCAACAATATGGATGATTTGAAGATAGACACCGATATTACTGGTGCTAAAGAAGAACTCCTAGATGACAACAATTTTATCTCAGAAAACGAGAGTGGAGTTCATAAACCAAAAGATTATCAAACATCATTTAAGAAAAACAGTTCATTGACTCTATCTGAAGAACTATCAAAGGACAAATCTGAAAAAGCCTTAAGTGGAGGCCAGTCTACTTTGTTTATGCATGCTGGTGCTCCTACTGTTTCTAGTGAAAATTTTACCTTACCTAAAGGAGCTACTGTTAATGGACCAGTTTCACACTCCTCCTTAACTAAGACTTCCAGTATGAATAAAGGTAGTGTTTCATTAACCACTGGACAGCCTGTGGATCAGCCAGCAACAGAATCTTGTTCAACTTTGAAGGTGGCAGCTGATCTTCAGCTGTCTACACCACAAAAAGCAAGTCAACACCAAGTTCTATTTTTGTTATCAGATGTAGCACATAATAAGAATCCAACCCATTCCATTAAAAAACTACCTACCTCTACAGTTGGTTGTGACATTCAAAATTCAGTAGGGAATAGTATGAAATCAGATAGCACTTTAATAAGTCAAGTAGAGGTGGGTGAGGATAGTGAAGATTTACTAGTAAAAGATGATGGTGTTAATACAATAACAGGAATTTCCTCAGGTACAGATGAATTTAGGTCAGAAAATGATACGAACTGGGATCCCCAAAAAGAGTTCATTCAGTTTCTTATAACTAATGAAGAAACTGTGGATAAAGCACCCGCTCACTCTAAAGTAGGTCTAGAAAAAAAAAGAAAGCGAAAAATGGATATAAGCAAGATAACTCGTTACACGGAGGATTGTTTTGGTGATTCTAAATGTGTACCAAATAAATCAAAAATGCTAGAAGTTGATCTTATGAAACAGAATGAAGAAGGACAAACAATAGACTCAGAAAAATACACATTATCAAAAGTGAAGCCTGAATCGACTGATGAAGACTTAGAATCTGTAGATGCTTTTCAACAGCTAATTTATAATCCAGATAAATGTGGAGAAGACAGTTCAGCTGTTCATACTAGCACTTTTATTTCAAATACCGTAAAAAAGAAATGTGAAGAGAGTGATCCTGAGTCACCTGCTACTTTTAGTACTGAAGAGCCATCATTCTACCCCTGTACAAAGTGCAATGTGAATTTTAGGGAGAAAAAGCACCTCCATAGGCATATGATGTATCATTTAGATGGGAATAGTCACTTTCGCCACCTTAATGTCCCAAGGCCATATGCATGTCGAGAATGTGGAAGGACATTTAGAGATCGCAATTCACTTCTAAAACATATGATTATCCACCAAGAAAGAAGACAGAAGTTGATGGAGGAAATTCGTGAATTGAAAGAACTTCAGGATGAAGGAAGAAGTGCACGATTACAATGTCCTCAGTGTGTATTTGGTACCAATTGCCCTAAAACGTTTGTGCAACATGCTAAAACCCATGAAAAAGATAAAAGGTACTATTGCTGTGAAGAGTGTAATTTCATGGCAGTGACAGAAAATGAATTGGAATGCCATCGGGGCATTGCCCATGGAGCTGTGGTAAAATGCCCTATTGTCAATTCTGATACAGGCCAGAGAAAAACACAAAAAAAGACTTTCGTGAAAGACTCTGTTACAGGATCATCCAAAAAATCAGCTACATACACGTGTAAGGTGTGTCCTTTTACCACTTCAGCCAGAAGTATTTTAAAAAAACACGTGGAATATTTGCATTCCTCATCATGTGTTGATTCATTTAGTAATTCTCTGGGGCTAGATAAAAAAAAAAGTGACACCCTTGAAGAGCCTATAGATGTAGATAGCACTAAACCATTAATTAAGCAACAATCAACCACATTTCCAAAGAACTCTGCTTTAAAGCAAGATGTAAAACGAACATTTGGATCAAATTCACAATCAAGTAATTTTTCAAAATTACATAAGCGGCCACATAGAATACAAAAAGCTCGGAAAAGCATTGCCCAATCAGGGGTAAACATGAACAGTCAAAACAGCTCTCCTCACAAGACTATTATGATTAAAAGCAGCACTGACCAAAAACCGAAGTATTTCCATCAAACAGGAAAAGAAAAATCTAATGCCAAGGCAAATAGCAACTATTTATATAGACATAAATATGAAAACTACAGGATGATCAAAAAATCAGGTGAATCATATCCTCTGCATTTCAAAAAAGAAGTTAGTTCATTAAATTCTTTACATCTGTTTTCATCAAGTAATTCTCATAATAGTTTTATTTCAGACTCTGATAACCAAGACACCAAACGACCAGAAGGCTTCAAGGACCACAGGCGTGTAGCTGTGAAAAGAGTAGCTAAAGAATCTAAGAAGGAAAATTCTGTCCAAGGAGAAGACTTGAATAGCTATCCTGATTTTTTGCATAAAATGACTGTTGTGGTTTTGCAAAAGCTTAATTCTGCTGAAAAGAAAGATAGTTTCGAAACAGAAGATGATAGTTCCTGGGATAATGTTGAGCTAAGTGACTACACTACACAGCCTATAGATGATGAAACATACACTGATCTTAATCAAGAACGTGTAAACATATTTCCCCTATTTAAAAGCAAGGTGGAAGGTGAAGAACCAGGAGAAAATGCTGCCCTTAGTTATGATCAAAATAATGGCTTTTATTTTGAATATTACGAAGATGGTGAATCTAACAACTTTTTACATGAGATACATGATTCTCAGCATTTAGAAAATTCAGAAACTTCATTGTCAAAACATAGTTCTGTTTTTCATTGGACTGATTTGTCTCTTGAGAAGAAATCATGCCCTTATTGCCCAGCAACGTTTGAAACAGGTGTTGGGCTGTCAAATCATGTCCGAGGACATCTTCACAGAGCAGGATTAAGTTATGAAGCCCGTCATGTTGTATCACCAGAGCAGATAGCCACAAGTGACAAAATGCAACATTTCAAAAGAACTGGCACAGGGACACCTGTTAAGAGAGTTAGAAAAGGTAAGTGCTCACACAGATAGTTTGAGCTAATTTATTTATGTTCAAATTTAGAGGATTTGAAAGTTTTGAATTTGATCTTTTGTTAGAATCAAATAATTTCATATTTTAGAATTTAATAAATTCTGATACTATTAAAATTTTTTTTTAGCTATAGAGAAATCTGAAACCACTTCTGAACATACTTGTCAACTCTGTGGTGGTTGGTTTGATACTAAAATTGGATTGTCAAATCACGTTAGAGGCCACCTGAAAAGGCTTGGAAAGACCAAATGGGATGCTCATAAATCTCCAATTTGTGTTCTGAATGAGATGATGCAAAATGAAGAAAAATATGAAAAAATCTTAAAAGCGTTGAACAACCGTCGTATTATTCCCAGACCATTTGTAGCTCAAAAACTAGCATCAAGTGATGATTTTCTTTCTCAAAATGTTTTACCTCTTGAAGCATACCATAATGGCCTAAAGACTGAAGCTCTGTCAGCGTCTGCATCAGAGGAAGAAGGACTGAACTTTTTAAATGAGTACGATGAAACAAAACCTGAACTGTCCAGTGGAAGGAAGAATCAGTCTCTTACACTGATAGAACTTCTTAAAAATAAAAGGATGGGAGAAGAAAGGAATTCTGCTCTTTCTCCTCAGAAGATCCACAATCAAACAGCAAGAAAGAGATTTGTTCAGAAATGTGTTCTTCCATTAAATGAAGACAGTCCTTTGATGTATCAACCACAAAAAATGGACTTGACTATGCACTCAGGTAAGAGGACACTTAGTAACTATAATTTTAGAACACTTCAGTTGTTTTCTTTTATTGGAATATTTGTGGGAAATACTTTCTCAGAATCTTCTTATTTAAGCTACTTTTTTTGCAGAACAGATTGGTTTTTCTGTCATTTGTGTATAACTCATCAGTTGATGCTCATCAGCACAGTCTTTGCCTCATTTCATAGTCGCATAGTCTGACTGTAAGGTGAGAAAAAAGCAAAAAAAGACACACACAAACAACAACAAATAAAAAGCTGGTCTGTAAAAATATAATTTGCGAGGGTTAAAGAACGATTATGGATGGGAGGGAGGTTGATGTTGTTCAAAAGATAGCATTACTGAAAGGGGAGACCTTTGTCATATTTTTGCCAGTTCTCCAAAGAGATAATATTCTCAAGATTTAGCTGTTGGTTTTCCCACTGCTTAGGTAAAACAAAACAAAGCAGACTCTTTAAACTGAATGGATTGGTGTCTGTTGTGTGTTGTGATTAACCCAAAGAAGCCTCTTCCTCTCCAATTCGTCATTGTACTGTGGAATAGTTTGGTTTTGAAGAATTGTTGTGAGTATATGAAACATATATATATATATATATTTTTTTTGTTTTTTGGTTTTTGTATCTTGCAATAGTGTTCTACTGGAATAGAAGAGATGATTTAGCATGGTGATTGCATACCAGTTGTTCCCTTCCAAGGAATATTTTGTATATATTGGTAAATGACATGGCAATTAAAGTAGCCAGACTTCATTCATTATTGCTGCTGGTTTATACTTTTAAGACTAGAAGAATTGTAAGCCTCTTTATAGGTTTCTTTTGGAGATTAAGAGTTTGGGGTTTATGTTGACAGTCTCATGATTGGAGCCCTAATAAAGTGTGTCTGAGGTAATAGTAAGTGGCCGATGGACTAATGAATAAAGTTACTGTAAGGAAATATTAATTGTGTATTTCTGGCAGAGATCCCAAATATTTGTTAATACAGTGTTGACTTAAGGAAAGATATTATCTTGTATTTTAAATGGCCTGAAAAATGATTTATTTAGTTGGAATTCTGCTTAATAGGGCTCTTCGTACAAAGATTTTTGGCAAAGTCAGTAGCTTTCAGTGTTTTTCAAAAGGATAAAATACAGGGAAGGTGTGTTAGTTGTGTTGACTAAGGTGTACTATACTTACAAAAGGAACTTGTATGTGTGGCTATCAAAGTAATGTTGAGGAAACCAACTGAAATATGTTGGGGGAGTGAGATTTGTCTGAGAAGTTAGGAGTTTCTTATTGTTTCAACTTGTTTTTCCTGGGATGACTAAGATGTTAGTTTGTTGATCATTTATTTAGCACAAAGATTTTAGCAAAAAACTTCAAATCATTAACTTTCATTATTGATTGCGCATTCAAAGTAATGAACATAAAATGCCCTGAATAAAATGTTGTGTCTAACAGCTGTTCAATGGTGTGTTTTACCACCTTTTCTCCAAGCCTTCATCAAAAGCCTAATTTAGTATCAAGCCTTTTACGGTTTTGTGGGTAAAACACTTTAATTACCACTTTGTCAACTAGACTTCTTAGTTCTTTTTATTGGTAATGTTGTAAGCTTTGAAACTCTTAACATACTATTCAAATCACAGGGTTTTATTTCATAGTAGGTTTAAGAAATGATCTGCGTAACACAGAAATCTGCAAGAAAATGATAATAGGTGTTAAATCTAGAGGAGCATAGAAGTTCAGGTCACTCCTCTTCCACCTTTCCAAAGAGCATGGGTTGGCTCTAACTACTAACTATAAACAACTAATAATTAACTCTCCCTTCTTATATTAAGCTAAACTAATTCAGTGAACGCTTTTGAAACCATCTTTGTTGTGGTACTTCTCTACACACTTTAAGCTAAGAAAATTTCACTTTTTGAAGTGGGAACTGGATTATAGTTTTCTTTTGAATGATAGGTATGCCTGTGAAGCTTAGAACATGTGTGCATTGCAATACGACGTTTACAAGTGCTGTTAGCCTGTCCAACCACTTACGCGCTTATGCACGAAAGAAGAGTGCTGGACTTTTGACTGGTACAGGTATGTTTGAACAGATATCACAGCAAGCCTGTTTGATACAATACACTTCTTTTTCACCATGCTGGTGCTAATTCAGATTATATTTATAACTTTCTTTGGTAAGCATTAGTTGAATCTGAATAGACATTAAATTTCAGCAACTTGTAAACTATTAATATAACTAATCAAGTGGTTCTTTTTCACTTGGCTCATACTGACTTGATTTGGAGGAAAAAAAGTAGAATTGTGGAACTTTTGAGCCTACATTAAACCCATCAATTTTTAAAGTATGCTATTTTTGATTTTTAAATTTATTTTATTACTAGATTCTGTTAAGACACCTCTCTTTGGGTGGGAAAAAAATGTAGTTCTAGCTTAGGGAAATGCTTTATTAGAAAAGGAAATTACAGTGAAATTTCAAAAATATAAAACTGATTAAAAAACTAAGCAACCTAATGAGTTTTCTATTAGCCTCTAGATCCTGTCTTTGAAGTTCGGACCTTAATAATGGTCTGTTCTGAGAACTGAATAGATTTTTCTTTTTCTGTCCTATACTATATTTAGGATTAATAAATATAGCTATACACATACATGCACATTTCTGTGTTATTTTTGGTTGGCTAGCCCAACCTTGCAGATACTCTTCATACTGCTATTAGTAAAACTGCTTAATAAGCTAACTCATATGTAATGTGCTTCTTAAAGCCTGCAAAATTTTGCTTTGCTCTTTTATTTGTAGCCTTTCAAACTATCCTATATTAGCAAGTCCAGTGTCTTTCACATCTTAAAACAAACTCATTTTTTCTAAATAAATCTATATAAATTTTATTATGTAAAATTCTCTTTTTAGTCTTTCTTTTCTTGTCCTTTTAGATCTCTACCTTCTGCTTTCTCGGGCTGTTTTCACTCATTTTTTCTTTCTCATGCCTTATGACTTACATCAAATATGTTCTTATTTCCCAAAGACACTTGTATTTATGCTAGTGTCTTTACTCTGCTTCTTTATTCTTTGACTTGATATACAAACAATAACCAGAATTCCCATTGACCATTTATATTAAAAGGAGAGGAATAGTGAATTTTCTTCAGGGGATCAGAGCTCCTACTGTGCGGTTGTAATTTTTATATACTTTCACCTTTATCAGGCTTGGAAGATGATTGCAAACATGAGAGGTAGAGGCAAATGAAAATGTAGAAATGACGAGTCATCATCATTGCTATCATAACCACTAACCTTTATTGAACACTTACTATAAGTCAGACATTGCTATGCAGTTTACATGCATAGCATTTAATATACAGCCATGTGAGATGTGGGTACTGTAATTCTATTCTCTGTGTTTCACAGAAAGTTACATCTGTTTCAACAGTTTGCTTAACTTTCATAGTTAATGAATATTAAAATTGAAATTCAAGTCAAGACTGTCATACCGGGGCTGGGGATTTAGCTCAGCTGCATAAGCGCCTGCCTTGCAAGCAGGCAGTCGTGAGTTCGATCCCCGGTACCAATAAAAAGGAAAAAGACAAAAAAAAAAAAAAAGGAAAGACTGTCATACCTTAGATCTTTGTTCTTTAGTCACTATCCTGTACCAAGGGATCCTTTTCTTGGGTTTCTTATTTTGGAAAGAAGACAGTTAGTTGTAAAATGAAATTGACTTTAAGTTAGGGAAAAATCTAATCTGATAAAGATTAAGTAAATAAAGGTCTAATTAGAAAAACTGTAAGAAGTGGTTAGGCCTAGTTTAGCCTTTGGAGGGCTTGTGAAAATTTCATTCTGGGTATTCGAGCAGATTTTTAAATACTCAGTGGGATACAGTCTCTCCAATCCAGACTTTGTTAATCCATTTAAAAATGTTTTTACCTCATGTAAAAAACTTCAAAATGTAATGGTGTTGTTTTCATTAAAAAAAACTTTTAATTAGAAAAGTGAAATAGGACAAATTGGGGTATAATCTGGGCCAGTTGTGGGAAACCAAAAGCATGTGTGCTGCAGCAGGCCTGCAGAGTTTTTTGTTGGCACATGAGCCAGGCTGCCCTAGCAGTGGAGCATCAGATAACAGTTGTTTTTCCTAATCTAAAACATCAGAGTATTCAGGTTTCATTGTGCTGTTGAGACTTTGTAATAAATAAGTGAGTTTTGGGTTAGCGTTCGGGCACCTGGTCTCTAAAAGGTTTGCCATCGCTGGCCAGGCCATCAAGAGAAATAGGATAATGCTTTTTAAAATAATCATTAAGTATCAATCAAAATGTCAAAAGTTAGAAAATAAAGGTTTTTTTGGTAGTCCTTGGCAAAACAATGGAAATGAAAACCTGAAGAAAAACCAAGATGGTTTCACACAACTAGTACCCACTTTTAAGAAGCAAAAAAGTTATGGTTTTTCTTAGACATTCTGAAGCATTTTATCCATATTTTTAAAATGTTCTTGATCAGTAGACCTATACAGATGGTGTGTTTGCAATCTATGCCAACTAAGAAGTTTTTATGCAATTTCATTAATGTTTTTGGTTTCTCAGATGGGAATTCTGTATATAAGCTCCAATATACCAATATTCCTCACCCACATCTCATCTTAGTATATAGCAGTGTTCCAACCTATGAGGGTAGATTGTTAAAAGAGATTTATCAGTTCATAGAAATAGCACACATTGGTTTTTCAAGAATATAAGTAGCTACTTGTACAATGAATAAATACAAATTCATGCCAGTTGGTGGCACATGACTACAGTTCCAGCTACTAGTAGGAGGTTGAGGTTGAAAGATGGCAAGTCTGAGGCTAACCTGTGTAATTAACGAGGCTATGTCTCAATATTAAAAAAATAAAATGGGCTTGGGATATACCTCAGATACAGTTTGCCTCATATGAAAAGAAAAACAAAAAAACCAAAAAAATAAAAATAAAGAGGAAGGAAAAGAAGACAAAATATAACTAGAAATTCTTCAAGAGCCCTTAGCATTTTTTTTTATTGAATAAAGGATGCAAGAACTGTATAACGTCAATACTAATTCTCTTATTACAAGTATAAATTAAGATATGTCATTGATACTAGGAAAAGGTATACTGAACAAAATACAAAAGCTTTAGAGTGGAAATTATAAAAGAGGTAGCCATATTTGGCACAGTTAATTTTCAAAAGAGAATTACACAGAACCGACCCAGTTTAACAATTTCTTTTGTATCATCAGTTGTCTACAGTTTATGAAACCATTTTGATTTTCTTAATGGATCTTTGTCTAAAGAGATTAGTATCAAAGGATTTACTTTATATTCTACATTGTAAATTCAAGGCAGACTTCTTATTCAGAGATTAGTTTTCATTAGTATAGATAACCACCTATTCATGATTTTCTTTTTAGATTTGTCTCATGAGAATTAATGGTTTACAGGTATTTTTCCTGGCTAAGTCAAAATATAGTCTCATTAAAACATGTAATTCTCATTAAAATCAGAAATTTCATGATAGAGTTCATAATCAGTGCTTTAGACTATTTTCACTATTTGCGTTGTTTGTTTGTTTGTTGATGATGCCTAGGATTGTATTTTGGACATGCTAAGGAAAGAGCTCTACTCTTAGCCACGTCCCCAGCTCGCCCCAGTATTCACTTTTTTATGTTCCATAGTATTTTATTTGCTTAAATATTCTTTATAATATTTTATTTGCTTAAATATTCTCTTTGCTAGCAAGGTTGAGAACAGTATTACTAAGTTATTAATAGAATACTGTACAATACTGGTTTAGCTTTGTAATAGTGCCAGTTTTATTCAAAATATCCTAGATTGGATGGTAACTTATATAGTGATTCTAGTTATTAACATTTCTAAAACACTTAAAATTATTTAAGGTGAAATTTATCCTAGCAGCTTAATCTGCAATCAGGAGCAAAACATTATGAGATCAAAATAAAGAGTGAATCTCAACAGGTGAGGAAAGGGAAATAATTAAATTCAGAGTACAGTGCTGTCAAAAAAGGTACATCTGTGAGACATACATTTCTACAGTGTATTTATGTGCTATACAGCATTGTGTCGTGGCTTGAAAAGAATAGAATAATGTTGACATTACGCATTTTTATTGGGACTTTTTATATCTGTATACAATCACGTAAAATTACTATTTATTTCATTCACCTGAATTCAGTATAATACACTTTTTTTTTTTTGTCTTTTTGCTTTTTATTGGTACTGGGGGTCGAACTCATGACTGCCTGCTTGCAAGGCAGGTGCTTATGCCGCTGAGCTAAATCCCCAGCCCCTAGTATAATACACTCTTAATATTTTCTTTTTCTCATTAAAAATTAATGCTGGTTATGAACTAATGAACTGATGCAGAACCCTTAGAAGACCATATCCCCAGATTGATAACACTGCCAGAAGAGCTTCTCTCTGTTAAGGGCTGGTACTGACAAATCAACAGTAGTAGCATCTTAGAAATCTTAATATTTCTCTGGCAGCAAGTGTTATTTTTCTCATTTTATTCATTTTTATGTGTAGAGCACATTTTAAAAATCAAATGCTGATTTCAGTAAAATAAATTAAAAATTTCTGGTTACCTGTTTTACATATCCCAAAAAATCCATGTGATGAGGGATTCCTTTCATTGTTTTGAGAACCTTTTATTCATAACATTTTGGAAATACCTGCAACAACAAATCAATGCCCCAAGTACAAAATGTATACCTTTTTTGTTTCTATTTTTTCATAGCATCCACTTTTGTTATAATTGTAGACTGCATGTTACTGAACAGATTCTTTTGCTGTTTTCAGCTTTGATATAATTGGTTATAGAGGTTATAGAAATGCTAATGAATATACTAGGTGGTGTCAGGTACTGAGTGAGTTTGTAAGCCACTAAAAAATTATTTCTAGCTTATAGAAAGTGCTATGAGAGCACTCTCTGGTGTGACTGAAAAAAAATGTGAGGGATTTCAGTTTGCATTAAATCGTTTGTCTTGTAATGAGTGTCTTTGCAGCCTTTTTAAAATTATAGTATTGCATGTTGAAGAAATTGCTTCTTTTATTGTG